TGTGTGTGTGTGTGTGTGTGTGTGTGTGTGTGTGTGTGTGTGTGTGTAGATGCATGCAGTTGCCCATGGAAGCTGGAGAGAGTCCAGTTGTCTGGAATTGGAGTTACAGGCAAGTGTGAGTCATCTGATGTGAATGCTGGAGACCAAACCCGGTCTTGACTGAAAGCAGTGAGCACTTTCCTACTGAGCCATTTTTCCAGCCCAGTTTGTTTATTTTATTTTTTTGAGAAAGGTTGGCCACACTCTTACTATGTTGCCAATGATCCTTGAATTTCTGAATCCTTCTTTCTGTACCCCAGTGATGGGTTACATGTATGAATTACCATATCCAGAAATGCAATTTTTCTTCTCTTTTTTCTTTTTTGCTTTTCTTTATTTGTTATTGTTATTATTATTATTATTTTTTTTTTTTTGAGATAGAGTTTCTCTACCTAGCCCTGGCTGCCCTGGAACTGTTGTTTGTGAGACAAGGCTGTCCTTGAACTCACAGGGATCCACCCATCTCTGCCTCCCTGAGTGCTGGGATTAAAGGCGAATTTTTCATATTTTAACTATTGAATATTGGCCAAAATCAGATTTGACCTGCAAAGAATATTTTCCTCCCTTTTATTAGATGTTCTAGAATGACTTATTTTAGTTTAAAAATCCACACACATAAAATAATAAAAGTGTGTTAAGGCCATGAGTTACTTTGGAAGTCACTTCCTTAACTGGGGTGACTTCAGTATTTACCACTAAAGTACTTGGTGACAGTTATGGTTAAGGGTGACAGGGAGCTTCTCTTTTCTTTAAAGAACTTTCCCCTGTTTTAAAGAGAAGAATATTGCTTTCCAATGGCATTTCATCAGGAGCAGTTACTGAGAGCAGTGGTTTTCTATAAGGACCTGAGATAAGTCATTCACTATTCATAAGTACAAGAATAGAGTGTCCCTGAAGCTGATTTACGAAAACCCAAAGGTAGGACATCTGCAGGAAGTGGCTTTGGGTCATGACTTTCAAACTGGAGGATCCGAAGAGTGGACAGTTGCTGCAGTAGAGAGGGCCTAGGAGTCTAATGGCAACATTGGATACTGCCAAGTCAATAAGCACATCTGCCCTTAAAGTGCATAGGTCATGTCATGGGATACTTGATTAATTATAACTTGCATTTTGTGATTTCTTTTATCCAGTATGACTCCCGGAGACACAGTCCACACGTGTGCACTCTACTTCCCTACGCTGCTCATCCAATTAGAGTATCTGAAGCAACTAGTAAAAGATTCAGTACAGGCATTTTCTGATCTCAAGAATCAGAAAGCAACTCGATACCATTAAGTCCAGCAAGTTATTTCTATTAGAAATCTCCAACATTGTTTTTGAAATACACTGATAAGCATAACAGAATCTATAGTTAATTCTAAGTTATAAACGTATGTAATATTTGACATAAATAATAACATTTATTAAATAGCATAAAGCTGAAAATATTTAATATAAGTAATAAACATAGCAAACCTATACAATGTTGTATCTTTATCTAAAATTCTATGGGGTTAGAGAGATGGCTCACTGATTAAGAGCACTGGCTGCTCTTCCAAGGACCCACATGGCAGCTTACAACTGTCTGTAACTCTAGTTCCAGGGAACCTGACACCCTCACACAAACATACAAGCAGGCAGAACACCAATGTACTAAAATAAAAATAAATCATTTAAAATTCTATTACAAGTATTCCAGTTACATTGTTAGCACTGACTTGAAAGATAAGTATTCTGCGTGGTTGTGGCGCACGCCTGTAATCCCAGCACTTAGTGGCAGAGGCAGTCAGATCTCTGTGAGTTTGAGGACAGCCTGGTCTATAGAGAGCTCCAGGACAGCCAGAACTACACGGAGAAATTCTGTCTTGAAAGAAAAAAAGGAAGGAAGGAATATTAAGCTTAACACATTTAAGTATGTGTTAAATGATCTTCATTTGTTGTAAGTATTAAATCTCTAACTCTGGTTACAAAGTGGATGGATAGTAAAAAACATACTAAATCTTTATTTTTCAAGCCTGGAATACTCACTAATAATAGTGAGCTGCTCACACTGTTTGTTGGGTCTTGAGGTACAATCTGTTCTTATTGCTGCCTGCCTTTTACTTGCCTGTGTTATGGTAAAGACTCATCCAGTTCTTAAGTGTCCAGGATTCACCAGTATTTTCTTGCCAAAACCTATGGTCCTCAGGAGGCATCCTCTAGATTTTTAGCGACTTAGATTTTTAATTGAGAAAGAGCCAGTCTTCTTAAGACAAGGAAGCAAAGGAGATCAGGGTGCAGATTTACAGCAGTAAGCTAAAGCAGCTTGCCAGGCCCTGAGTAAGCAGGGGCTTGGAGAAAAGCAAAGAAATTCCTGTCCAGGTTTTCTTTACCTTTTTTTCCTTCCTCCCTCTCTTCCTTCCTTTTGACTAGCCTTGAACTCACCTTCTCTGAGTGCTGGGATTATTGGCTTGCACTGCTCACTCTCCTGGGGAGTCTTCATTAAATCTAGTGCCTGTTTATTCATGAATGCATATATGCACGTGTATGTACATTTGCTGCTGAGGATTGTGCTAAAGCATGTTAAGCATGTACTTCGCTAGTGAGCTGTCATCCTTGGTGCTCTATTCTGGATGTTAAAAGAGCAAAAGAAAAGCCTGCCACGAAGGGATTTTTAACAGTGAAGAACTAACTTTACAATTCATGTTTTCTGTTTGGTTGGAAAGGAAATATATATGTGTATATATATTTATTTATATCATTATATATTTATACAATATAATATGACACATACATATTTGAGACAGGTTTCTCTCTGTGTGTACCCCTGGGTGTTTTGGAACTCACACTGTAGACCAGGCTGGCCTTAAACTCACAGAGGTCCACCTGCCTTTGCTTCCCTGAGTGCTGGGATTACAGGTGTGTATCACCACTCCCAGCTGGACACAGTTTTTGATGTGGATTATTTTTACTTTTTAGACTTAGTTTTTGATTTGTTTTTCTTTCTTTATGTATGTTCATGTTGTGTGTGTTGTGGGGCAGAGGTCAACATCAAGTGTCTTTGATCGCTTTCAACTTTATATATTGAGACAGGGTCTCTCCTGATTGAACCCAGAACTTAGTATTGAGCCAGTAGCTAAGCAGCTTGCTCCAGGGGTTTCTCTGTATTTGCTTCCCAAATGCTCTAGGATTACAGGTGGGCTGCCATCCCTGCCTAGTATTTACATGGAAGGTGGCTGTCCATAAGTACTTCATCCACTGAGCTTTTTCCTTAGCCGCTTGTTTTGCTTTTTGAGAAGGGTGTCATTCTGCAGGCCAGGCTGCAGATCTTATGTAATTCCTGAGAGTTAGAATTAAAGATTTGAGCCACCATGCCTGGCACTATGGACTTTGTAGAGTCTACTGTGCATAGTTGCATCCATAATGACTTTGGTGAAGGCAGTACATAACCTATTTCTCTATTGTATTTTTCTTTAGATTTTAACTTTTGAGACCAAGAACCCAACGGAATTAGCAGAACGTTTGCGCTCTGTTTGTGGGAATCAGAGCAATGCCTATGCCCGCCTGCTGGAATATCGCCTCAATGCCTTGCGTGGACTATGGAATGCCCAGCGCCAGCTGGCTCTGGAGGAGCAGCATGAAAGGGAAGGCTCGGGTGATGAAGAGACCTTGGCCCTGCTCAAGCGTCAGGGCTTGCTGCAGCAACCAGAGCAAGCGCCCTTCACATCCCGAGTGGGCCTCCTGTTGGTCTTCCCTCTTATTCAGTCCCAGAGTAAAACAGACCCTTCCCTCTGTAACATAACTGCTGAGGTGCTATTGAACTGCCTGCGTGACTGTCAGCCTCTGAGTTTGACCAAGGAGCCTGCCGACTGTCTCAATGGGATAGAAACCTTGCTGTGCTCTTGGCTAGAGGAGACCTCAGACACAGGCAGACACATCCCACATAAGCAGAAGGAGAACGCTGCTGCTGCCCTGGTGGCTTTGGCATGTGCCAGGTAAGGAAAATGACACAACTTGGCAACATTGTACGTTCCGCACTTGCACCAAATGTATTTCATGGGTATCCTAGCATGTGCTTTGGTTTCGGTGTTGAATCTCACAGTGGTCATACATGTGATGGGTCCAGGTTTTGCTGTGCTGCTCTGCTTAATGACAGCTAGGAGTAGCAGCCTTAGCTGTAGCTTATTGCTCCCAGGTGGCTAATGGTCTGCATCAGCAGAGGGTGCTATGTCTGCCTTTCTCCCTTGAGGAGAGGCAAAATGTTGTAGAGATGTTAATTTCTTTTAATGTCTGTCAATAAAGGAATCTCTCAGCAAATTACAGGATTGAGTTCTTACCTGGTCACAAGACTGACTCATAGACAGTATTTCTGGACTCCGATTTTATATACTTTTAATATTTTACATTTATTTATTGTGCTTGTGGGGTGCGTACATATGGCATAGTGTGAGTGTGGAGGTCAGAGGACAACTTGCAGGGCTCAGTTGTCTTTTTCCCACTGTGAAGGCTCTGGGGATGGAATTCAGGTCATCAGGGTGGTGGTGAGCACCCACGCCTGCTGAGCCGTCTCACTGGCTCTGCGCCCTGGCTTAACTGAAGGATGTCTCCGTGTGTGCAAAGATGTAGTAGCACACTGTCCTCTGTGCTATGTGACTGACACAGTCACTAGCAAGTGTGCTTGCAGTTGCTCCCTCCCTGCCCTTAGGGTCTGTCTTTGGTGCTCAGGCTCCTCTGTAGCTTGTAATTCACTTGCCCAATGATGTCGGATGTGTGAGGAGGATGCCCATTGCCCTTGTCTCTCTTAGTAAAACCAGTTACAGCCATGGCCTGCCTATTTAGTGTCACCTACTTAGGATTTTTTGGAGGGGTAGGAGAGGGAGAACAGCAGGGTGAGATTATCCTCCTCTTTTAACCCAGTTATATGTTTCCAAGAAACTCTTTTTGGAAAAGAATTTGATTTCTCTTTCTGGACTCAACATTTACCTTCAGTTACCTTCTTTCTCTGTCTGTCTCTATCTGCCTCTCTCTTCATTCATTCATTCATTCATTCATTGATTTATTATTTTGGGTTTTTGAGATAGGGTTTCTTTGTGTAGCCTTGGGTTGTCCTAGAACTCAGTCTGAAGACCAGGCTGGTCTCAAACTCAGAGATTCACCTGCCTCTGCCTCCCTGAGTGCTGGGATTAAAGGCATGAACCACAATAACGGCTCTCCAGTTATTTTAAAGGCAGGGTAGCATCATTTTCCAGTCAGCTTCTTAGCCTGGAGCAAACTGTTGCAGGTTGGTCTCAGTTCTTGAAGACTGCAGGCATGAGCTTCACTCTGGAGACATTGGCTGATACAGAAATAAGATTCCCTGTAAAGGCTTCAGATTAGATTGATTGATTTTTCTGCACATGCAAAAAGTAATTTGAGTCTTGAATAGATTTATTGTCAATGTAAAAGTGCCATTTTGAGAAAATTTCCACTTAAAGAGTACTATCTTTAGGCAGGATGTTGGAAATAATCAATCTTTTAGTTTTGAGCATTTCATTATTAAACATTGGATCATTAAACTCACTTTTTAATCATGAACCAGAATTCATTCCAACCACAGATACTTGTTAAAATTGCTGTGTTTTTGAGATTTCCAAATTCTGTTTGGCACATGTGAAATGAATATTCCTCTCCTCCTCTTCTTCTTCCTCCCTCCTTTTCTTTAGTTAGGTTTGCTTATAGGAGCATGGGTAAGGGCTTATATATAGGAACATGGGCACCTTACCAATGGCTAAATCACTGAAGAAAATGTTTTTCCCTTCCACAACAACCATTAACTGCCTATAGATCCTCAGAAAAGGGGAAGCCTCCTAAGACCCTCTCCACTCCATGACAGTGTGGATGGCTCAGTCTTGTGTAAGTCTCATACAGGTAGTCAACAGCTGCTATGACTTTATGACTGCACATTCATGTCACCCAGAGGACATCATCCTACAGCACTCCATTCCTTCCCAGTTCTTTGTGCCTCTCTACCAGGATGTTTGTTCCCTGATCCTTGTAAAAATAATGTAGATGTCCCATTTAGGACATCTGAGCATCCAACAGTCACTTATTCTCAGTACTGTACCCAGTTTTGCGTGTTTAACTGATACCTACTGCAAAATGATGCTTTTCCAACTGAAGTTGACAGCAGCATTAGGCTATGAACATAAACATAAATATTTAGAAGACAATTTGGCTGCACTTTGTCCATGACAAAACAAGCTTAGTAACTTTCCAACCAGAACCTATCATCTTCCCACCCACAGAGTTTTGATCAGGTTTGCTGTATCAAGCATGATTTCCCTTCTGTTGAGTGGTTGTTTACTCCTCTTCTCCAGCAGTCATGCCATTATTGCACCAGAGAGGATCATCTTTTCTGGCAGGTCAGTAGTGTGGTGCTCAGTCTAAAGAGCTGAATGAGACTGTTAATGGCTTTTCCCCTCAGCAGACCATCTGATACCTTCCAGCACCATGAGAGCTAGCCAGCAACGTGGAAGTTTCCAGTTTCTCCTGCATTTGTGGGGGGGGGGGGAGAGCTGTTGTCACTGTACTAGTCTATCTTTATGTTTTGTGTTCAGCTTTTTGATATAGGGTCTCCCTATGTAAGCCAAGGCTATCAGGGAGATCGTGATCTCTCTTCTCAGCTGTGTTTCCAGGCATTAGCCACCACACCTGGCTTACAAGTTATGTTTGTCAAACATCTCTCTGGCATGAAGGAGCTTTGCTAACTTTTAGGATGTAGAGATTCAGGTCTCTAATTTTACAGAGCTGGCAGTTGAATGGCCCAGAGATGATTCAGTCTGCAAAACCATCATGCTTACTGATTATATGCCAGCATTTTTCTCTGTGGTCAAGAAACTGGTGAGCAGGCAAAGAGTCCCTAAAATTTCAGAATTTATATGAGAGCAAGGAGGGCAGCTACATACATGGAACAGATAATTTCAGAGTGATACCAGCAGAGATAAAAAAAAGGGCAAGAATGGTGTTTTTAAAAAAATGTTTTTAGATTTATTTTCTATGTATGGGTGTTTTGCCTGCTTGATGCCTGTGTACCACATGTGTGCCTGGCATCTGCAGGGACCAGAAGCACTGTATTCCCTGGGACTGAAGTTACCAAGTAGTTGTAAGCCATCATGTGGGTGCTGAACCCTGGTCCTTTGCAAGAACAATGAGTGCTCTTAACTGCTGATCCGTCTTTCCAGGACAAAAGCAGGATGCTTTGGTAGACAATGGCTAAGTGGAGGGGACCAGGAATGGCTGGCTACCTGGGATTTGAACTGAAGACTGGGTGATGAGAAAGAGCCAGCAGCAGAGAGTTACAGCAAGAGGCAAAGGAACAGGGTCATTGGACTGTAATGAAAGACCAGAAGGGGCAGGAGGTGAGGTTGGTCTAGTCTAGATCATATAGGGGTTGTAAGCCATGGAAGGGCTTTACATATTCTTCTTAAAATGTGACTAAACTTTGCAAGCTGAAGTCTGTACATTAGTGGCTCTACATTCTCCAAATGTTGGTGCTTTTGTCCTTCTGTGTGACTTGGTGCTCTCCCAGAGAGCTATCTGTTGAACAGATGAAAGAAGGAAAAGCCACAGGACTTAGGTGACAGGACAGCTGTGCAGTTGTGAATAGAGTGCCTGGTATTAGTGCCAGCATGTCCAGGCTACGGCGGTGCCTTTATCCTGCACTGCCTCCCTGCCTTGTCCTGTTCTTTAAACCAAGAGAGCGAAAGGAGCAAATTAACGAGAAGCCAAAGGCCTACTTGGTCTACTGTTAGGTTCTGTTTCTTTTGAGGTTTAGGCACATGATACCTGCCAATTAGTTTTGGCTAAGAGAAGAAGGCATCAAGCAGAACCAGCTCATCAACCTAGGTGGTCATTAGTGTGGGCAGGTGCTGGTGATTTATACCTGGAGTGCTGCCAGGTAGGTCTTGCGCATCTTGAAAGCACCCTTTTAGTCCTGATGGACTCCTAGACTCCCCTCTAGCTTTGGGAACCATGAGGAAACTCAGTGCATAGTGAGTCCTACAAGCGAGATGCCCTGTGAAGTGGATGAACACTGTTAGACTTGAGACTCTTCATTCCCTGGAATCAGGGGGTGTGGTGATGGAGACTCAATACATGATACTTCCAGGTGCTTGGTGCTTGAGCGCTGTAACTTTTGGTTTTGTGTCAGTGGGAATTTTTGTCTTTCTAAATGGGAGAACATTTCCATAGTTGGAATCGTGTTGGTCCCCTACTCACATTCTACCAGAGCCAATAGTTGTGGGTAAGAAAGCTGAATTTTGTACATTTTGTGACCTATGAAAGCAGATCGACGTGTCTTGGAGCTTTGCCCTGTGGTTAGTTAAATCAGCACTGGCTGATTTTGATTTTCGGTGTGGGTAGGTTTTCCGTACCTTCTTTTTATTTTTAGGGGATCATTGAAGACCTTTGTTCACACTGTTCACCTGCTGCAGAGACAGACTGAGCTGGGCTCCCTGCCTGTCGCTGATGTTTTATATAGGTAAGTTGACACTTTCAATCCTTGTCCTTCTAAACAAGAAATGCATAGGAGATTCTTAGGGACAAACAGATTACTAAATCTTCCTAATTAATAGCTTATAGTTTTGAATGAATCTAGAATCCTAGCTAACTGCTGAAGGAAGTGAAAGTGTTTCTATTTCTAGAGTTTTTAAAATTTTTTCAATTTTTATAAAATGTCCTAATCTGTAATAAATTCTTATTGTAATATGAAATGACAGTATGTTCAGGTATAAGGAAATTGAAATCACTCATTATGCAGGAAGACCCACTTATATTCTTTGGGTATGTGTACTTCTTACTTAACACATGACCCTCTTTGCCTCTCTTTGCTTTTTTTCTCCCTCTTACACATGTAAAATATACATTTAGGCTGGGAATGTAAAACCAAGTGTGGTGGTCATGTTCATTCCTGCACCTGGGAGATAGAGGCAGAAGGATCAGGGAATTTAAGGCTAGCCTGGGCTACATGAAGCAATAATTACTAAACTTAAAGCCAAAACAATTAAATAAGTAAAATAGAGTAAGTATATTTTTTATACAAAGATAAATTTAAAAGTTTTTAAGTACTTACTTATTTATATGCCTGAGTATGGGTATACACACACCATGGTGCCTGGTATACATGTGGAAGAGGGTCACTTGCAGGGATCAGTTCTTACCTTCTACCTTGGTGAGTCAGGGTCTCTCTTGCTTCTGCACCACATGCTTCAGGCTACCTGGCTTGTGACTTCTGGGCAACTGTCCACTCCCATCTCAATGTGGAGTGGACAGGTATAAATCACCAGCACCTGCCCACACTAATGACCACCTAGGTTGATGAGCTGGTTCTGCTTGATGCCTTCTTCTCTTAGCCAAAACTAATTGGCAAGTATCATGTGCCTAAACCTCAAAAGAAACAGAACCTAACAGTAGACCAAGTAGGCTTTTGGCTTCTTGGGATTAGAAGTGTACACCGCCATATGGTGGTTACACAGGTCCCAGGGGTTGAATTCCAGCCAACAGGCTTACATAGCCAACATTTTTGTCCACTGAACCATCTGCCTGGCCTAGAGTCTTGTAAACTCTGCCTTGTAACTTTTCATTAAAATACACTGTGAACATCAGTCAGATGTGTAGTTCTTTAAATCATTTGAGTTTGCTCATTGAGCTGGTAAGTGGACCTCTGGTTTGCTGGAGTAGACATTCTTAGGTCTCTACAATTCTCCTTTACACCTTTGCAGGCTGCTGCTTTTGGAAGGGGGACCTGGATCCCCATCCTGTTTGCTCGGGGGCAAACACATTGTATCTTGGGGGTATGAAGATATGCTGCCTGCACCAGACAGCAACCCTGGCTCCAGTTCTGAAAACAAAGGTAACACAAGGACTTAATGCCCTGGGTTAACACTAGGATGTAAGAGGAGTGGTTTAGATCACTGTGGCAAATGTGTTAGCTGGAGCCTGGGTTCCTTTTAATTAAGAGCTGAAGATCCCTGCACAGAGTGCTCATTGTTTGCTTTATTTGCAAGTCTTGCATTGTTTGCAAGTCTAACGGCTAATACTCAGGGAGATGAGCAGATGGGCAGGCTTTATGATTCCAGGCCCAGGTCGTCCTGTAACCCTAGCAGGGTGGCACGGGCTACTTCACTTAGGTGTTTGAGAAGTGCAAAAACCACAGTAGACATTTCCAAGAGGGCCAGACATGCCTCATGATGCCATTTCTTCTCATTATTTACTGTGCTCAGTTATGGTCCTTCCCTGTCCTAAAAACAAAAGAAGGTTCAAAGAAGCTTGAACTGTTGAGTCTCTTACACAACGTAGGCAGTGTTGGAGTATTTTTACACAGTTTTGTAGGGTTATATGACAGCTTATTACATGACCTCAGCAAAAATGGGAGAAACTCTCTTAAGTGACTGATCTGCCAGACTTTTCAGGTGACTTGGGCCTCTGCATTGGTGCAGTAACCATTTAGACCAGCACTAAAGCTTATCATTTCTGCTCAACACTGTGCACTGCTTTTTCCCTGGGCAGCACAGCTTGCCAGGAGTGAGCTTTGCTTCCAAGCTGGCTTGTCATGGTAATTGGTAATTGGCCATCAGTTATTATAATAGTATTACTTACTGTAATATTATAAAAGAGTATATCATTAACTGTTACAAAATTGATGAAATAGGAATAAGAAAAGAAAGAAAGCTCCCCCCAAAAGATTAAGAGCCTGTCCAGCACACCCCTTCATTCCCAGCTTTCCATAAAGCTCCTTTCTGATCAAGGCTAAGGCACAGAGGAGTGGTAGCTCAACATCTCACAGCCCAGAGCCATTCTCTCATAACCCTTTCTTCTGGAGAGGGCCAAGAGAGGGGAAGGAAGATGCTGCACAGTTGTCAGAGAAGCAGACCACCTGCTGTGCCCGGGCAGTGCTCCCTAGTGATGGGTTTCAGCCTCTGCATGGTGTTAAAAAGCCTCTCTCTTCAAAGGGGCTGCTCTCTCATGGGGGAGAGTTCCCCAGGTGACAGCATCAGGCTGCTGTGTTTGCTTTTGAGTCCAAGCGGAGGGTGTGTCTCTTAGAATACTTTAATAATTCTTTTTTCTGTTGCTCCCTGCCCCTCCCTTTCTCTTTTTCTTCTGTTCATCCTCATTTTCTTCCTTCCTCATCTCTACCTTGTCCCTTTTCTTCCTTCTCTTTCCCTTTTGGAGACAGGCTCTTGTTGTATGGTCCAGCCTGTGTTTTAACGGTAGGATTCAAGGAGTCCTTTTGTCTCAGCCACTCTAATGACAATAGTTCTATGTAACTTTTAATACTGAAGCTTTGAGCATCTGCGGAATCTGTGAGAATGCTAAATATAAAGCCTGTGGATTATCAGCTCCTGGACAGTTTTGTTTACTTGGTCCCTTCACTTCTGGCTCAGTCAGACTCATACACAAAAGGAATTGGATTATGATCTAAAGATGGACATATAAATGTAACTTCAGGTAAAACACAGGGTGTTGTGGCACACACCTTTAATCACAGCACTCAAGTGGCAGAGACAGGTGGATCTCTGTGAATTGAAGGACAACCAGGGTTACACAGTGAGACCTGTCTCTAAATTAATTAATTAATAAAGAAAGTGAAGCTGAAAAGATAGCTCTAAGGTTAAGAGTGCTGACTGTTCTTCCAGAGGACCAGGTTTGATTTCCAGCATCTACATGGCAGAGAATAGCTGTCTCTTGGCGCACATATACACATTAAAAAAAAAAAAATCTCAAAACACTACAAAATTTTTTTGTTTTTTAAAATATAATTTATTTTTATTTTATGTACATTGGTATTTGACTGCATGTATGTCTGTGTGAGGGTGTTGGATCCCCTGGAACAGTTGTGAGCTGCCAAATGGGTACTGGGGATTGAACCTGGGTCCTCTGGAAGAACAGTTGGTGCTCTTAACCACTGAGCCATCTCTCCAGTCTCTCTCTTACTCTCTCTCTCTCTTTTTTTTTTTTTTAGTTTGGGTTTTTCAAGACAGGGTTTCTTTGTGTAGCCCTGGCTGTTATGGAACTCACTCTGTAGATCAGGCTGGCCTTGAACTCACAGAGATCCATCTGCCTTTGCCTCCCCAAGTGCTGGGATTACAGGTGTGTGCCACTGTACCCGACATAGCACTACAAAAAGTTTAAGGTGTAAAATGGTTATCTAGTTCCTTCCTTCCTTCCTTCCTTCCTTCCTTCCTTCCTTCCTTCCTTC